GGAAAAGAAATTTGACTTTGAAGGGTAAGCAAGTTTATATTTTCACTTTATATTTCTGAAACAGTTCAGATTTTTTTTTCATTTTTTACTTTTAACACCGATACTAGTCAATTTATTTCTCTCCCTGTGCATTCTCATTATTGCTTGAGTGTAATAAGCAATAATTAACATTTGAAAAGGTGCCAGTTTTCTTTGTTTCTAGTCAAACTAGGTTGCTGTGTTAGAGCAGGTATTTTCTTTTTGCATGACCGAGAAATACGTAGAGTTAACTAGTTAGCCTTGCATGTACATGAAAAACTGTTCACGCCTTTACCACGGTATGGTCGAAGCTATACGTGACCGAGTAACACTATATTCACGAGAAAACTTCAACATTTCAATTCCATAATGCGACCACGGATTAAAACTTGCATCGAGGACCGCATGAATAGCCTTACTCTGGCCAAAGATAAGTATTTGTGAATAATGTTAGCTAACTGCCAGCTGGCATTTTAACTGGTAAGTCAAGATTAGTCCCAAATACGAAAGAGACATTTCGACAAACCGCCGTCCGATGAATACTGTTTTTTTTATCATTGCTAGTTGCCATGCAAGTTAAAATGAATGTTAATTAATTGTAAATTGTATTAATAGTTTCACTTACTGCAGAAATGAGATTTTTTTGCCACTAACGGCAGTTGCTTTTCAACTTAATAACACATGCAATAATACTGAAAGAGTGGCTGTGTTTGACATGTTTAATTTTGATGTTTTTTTCGATGGCTCAGATAACCGCAGCAGAACCAATAGGGTATCTAAACAATGAGAATCAACAATTCATATTTCTCTAAAGAACTCTCAGTGGATAGTTTCAGTAGTAAATATATATAAACTTATTCAAGTGTTACTGGGTGCCGCGTTTTTTTTTTTTTTTTGGTTTGTTTTTTTGTTTTTTTCTATTTAAACCACATATAGAAAGAGAAACTTGAGGCAGCTGAATAAATGAATCAACTTAGTTTGCTAGGAAAGCGATTTGAGTCAATAATAAAATATTATTACCAGTTAACTAAAATAAACACAGTTTATTTCTTAATTTGCGTCCTTATTTTTTTCTGGTTCGAAATTGAAAACACTAGATCGATTATACCGGAAATCGATGACTAATTTGTACAAGTTTATTTAAAGTGAGTTTGTCTAAGAGTCCCGAGAAAAATTATATTTCTGCAGATGTAGTTCATTTGCATTCATATACTAATGCATCTGACGATCGCGTCATTGAGCCATTATCGATCACAGTGTGGAAAAAAATATTAAAGAGAAAACAGCGTGCTGGTTTTCCTTCATTATGAAACTATGATTAAAATGATTATCTATTTCTTGATTTCATGACTTTTCATTTAGCTTCCTGTTAAAATTACAAGCAACTTCAGGGGCGCCTCATACGCAAAGTTATCATCGCAACCATGATGTATGTCGCAATCATTCAAAACTACTCACGTTGCTCGCACAAGTCAACATCACTTCTACAAGTGAAACCAGAGAAAGTGGTAAAGAACCAGTTTTCTTCTACTTCGAGATTATACTTTTAATACCACGGAACAAAATGTATTCGATAAAATATACATCAGAAGTGATTTACGTTCAAAGTTCCCTCAGTGAAAATGTCCTTCTTGTGTACTCGTGGGCCTTGTATTTGCTCAAGGTGTCGCTACGCTGACGTCCTCTGAGCATCCGTAGCTTTGTTGTCTTTGGATCGCTTTCATTTTTTTTTTCATTTTTGATTTACTTTATTCTGTCTAAATTCTTCTATTCTTCTTCCTCAGCGATTTTGTTGTTTTTTTCACCTGAAAACATTTGAAATCGTATTTACTGGTCTCTCGATGTATAGACTTAGTGATGGTGAGAAAAGTAAAATCTTTGTTAATAGCTTGAGTCAAGGATTCAAACATATTTTACGAATTCGAGAAAATTGCACACACTCCTCCAACAAAGGGGAAAATTGTGACATTTTCATATCATCTACAAAAAATGTCAACGGTTTTTATTAAAATGGAAAGAGTTTTGTCAAGAATCTCAGTCACTTGACAGAACCGCAATAGAAAAAAGCAGAAAAAAATCAAGAAGTAGTTGAGCTTTAAATATAGGGGTGTCGTCGAAATTGGTGTGGATATTTAAAACAATAGCGCTGTGAAATAACTGTTTTTGTCCTTTGCGCCACCTTGTTATTCTGAAAATTTCATTTTTCACAATCAGAACTCTGCTTTGAAACAGAAGTGAGTAACAACGCCAGAAAATTGTCTAATATTTCACACTAACTCCTGCATGACACAGCTCGTAGACTTCAGTTTTCTGTCTCCGAATAAAAATCGTTCCTGTTTATCAGCCTTTGATAACTGTTCATTCGTAGTGCCGTATTGACAGGAACAAACAAGAAACAAAAACAGGATATGCACACAGCTGTTTATAACCTTTGGTTAGAGCAAAGTAGTTGATTCAGTATTTTCACAAATAAAAAATATTTCAAAAATCTTTACTTCGGAGATCGCTTATCGCGGTTTGCAATTCTTAGTTTTAATTGTAATGAACATATGGGCGAAGATAATGACTTGTTGGCAAACCCCAGGGATGTAAGTTGTCTTGCAATTTGATGATTTTTCACTTTGTAGTTGTCGTGTCGTTCGACTTCATTATTGCTATGATGTAACTGATACTGAGATTATAACAACGTAGTAAAAAAATAAAGCTCAGCACACCGTTGCGATTATAAATCAACTAAGTTTGTCGCACTCGATCTTAAACAGTAGAAAATGATTCCTGTTACGTAGAATAATTTGGTTATGAGACAACTGGATGAACCGTGAAACATTAACTAAAGGCTTCGAGCTATTTCAAGCTATCAGGAAGTTCAAAGACTTCCTCCGGGTGAAAACTCTTCTTATTGACCAATGGAAGTAAACCGCCAGAAAAACTGTGCAAAATACATATTCATAGCTCCGGAAATTAATCTTAGCGATCGAGAAAAAGCTGTAGACATCTAAAATTACTCGATTCAACAGATGCTTCAACTTTAAAACTCTCACGAAATCATAAAGATCTCGTGTTAAAATTACCAAAGTAAACTGATCAGCATATTCTCGGAAAGCAAGACAGACTCTGTTTCATATTTACGCAGGCTAGAAAAACAACTTTTAATATGCCTAAAGGGAGTGAGTTTCTAAAGAACTGCGGTGTTGCGTCAATCGGTAATACAATAAGAAAATTCTGTTTCATCAACTGAGTTGATAATCTGAATTGGCCACCCTAAAGAGTTTAAAAACTTTTTACCAAAGCTCTTCTTTAGCTTTTGAACAGAGCTTTTTTTAGTTTCAACTCTTCACGGTGGCCAATTTATTTTATCAACTCAGTTGATAAAAAAAAGATTATTCCATGAAAACTCGACGCATTTCACGAGTTGCAATGCATAAAAAAAAAAAAACCAACGAGTGAGAGCAGCAAAAATGAAGGGGGTTTTTTGATGCCTTGCAATGAGTGAACAAAAATCCTTCAAGCACTTTCCATGGTCTGATGTTTTTATTTGAAACAAACTGAGATTTTTTACTTACTGACCGACACATTTTAAAGATTGGAAGCGAACGACGGTGAAAATACATCGTTCTTCCAATCCGAGACACGAACGATAACACTTCACAATGTAAATCTCAGTAAGTACGAAATAAACCGAATTATGAGATGTTTAGTTCTCTTGGATGTGAATTGAAAAAGCAAAGGAACTTTCCTAAAATTTCGATAGAATCACCACAATCAATGTTTACGGTGTTTAGAATATTATGTCGCAGCCTCAGGGGCTACTTCAATGCAATAAAATACGAGCTTGCATTTTTCAAATAGAAATTAATCAGGTATCTGAGACGACAATTGTAACATAATTTTTCTAAAAATCAGAAGAATGCCTTTAATGCTCATTCTCTTGATTTTTTAATTTCACAAAAGTTCTCGCTCAGGATGTTATCCGGAAAAGTAACAGAAATTCAATGTTTTGCTTACCATACCAGGAAATAGACTTTTCAGAAATTATTTAATTTCCTGAGGCCACATTTTAAAAAAGCACATCATGCTTCCCAAAGGGAAAATTACCTTTTCACGGAGAGGAAGTCCGTTGAAAAGGGAAAAATTAGTTTAGCCCTCTGAGTAAAGGCCTGTGATAAACTTTGATTTTACGGCTTCTTGCCGGACAGTTCCGCTTTTAAATGAGATTTAATCTGGAAAGATCGAATTTTATTCCGTAATTAACGTCATAGGTAGAAAACTAAAATAAATCTATACTTCTTCCTTAGGCAAATGCACTAGGTACAGGAAGAGGTATTAGTGACCTTTCTTCAGGCTTTCAGTATGATCCAGCGGATTAAAAGAGCCACCTGATATTTCACAAATTAAGCAAGGATATTTCAATCTTGATAAAGTTATGAGAATTGCAAAGAGATTTTTCAGAGTTCCGTAACTACATTCGCGTATTTACGTGATCTACTTGAAAACTGCATCTAGAAAGATTATTTCCCTGAGTATGGTTACGCCTAAAAATTTCCTTTTTCAGGAGACGAGAGCGACGATATTTCTTCTATGCTTTTACAGATTTTTTCGGTTAGTTGCAATTTTCTCGAATTCGTAAAATATGTTTGAATCCTTGACTCAAAATGGATGAGTTATACACTTTTCAATTTAAAGGAAATTCACTTTTTTCCTTCAAATAGCATGCAAATCCTCAGATTTTCATATGCACAAGGTTCTTAGTTAAACAAACTTCTCTTGATCTAGAATATTTTGAACCTCCAGTTCTTTATTGACAATGCTATTTATTTCTGATCATTCAAAGTATTGTTCCTTTAAAATGTATTTGGAAAAGATGTTTGAAAAGATGTGCACATATGATTTTTTTCTTTTTTCCAACTCCTCTTTCCTTCCGCATTCAACACCATGAACTTGAAAGATAAAATATTTACTCGAATCAATCATTCTCACGGAAATTGAACAACAAATTTGCATTCATGAATTTTTTTCTCGGATGTACGTGATATACGAAAAATGCATTTGCGTCCAGTCTGTCAATATTAATCTTACCAAGCGAGAGTAACGTGTCATTCATTTGTTTTCTTCTTTGTCATTAACTTCCTCTTACGAAAGTGAGATTCTCTATTTCAAGTCGTGAGTGATAAATAATCGGATAAACTAGCGAGAGAAATTTTAGCAAGGGGAACGGGAGTGAACTCAAAAGAAAGGTAATGTGCTCTACAGAGAATAAGGTGCTACCAATACGCAGTTGGTTGATATCTTTTATTTCTTTGGTGGCTAACGTAATGAAGAACAGATCACCTCTCGGCTGGCCAAATCTTAAAACGATTTTGAGACTGGACTTACTTTGTCGTAGTTTTTTATTTTCTTCCATTTCAGTTCTATAATGTTGTATTTTTCGCAATGAATTTGCGATTCATAATAGAGTAAAAATACATAGTGTTAAGTGATATTAATTTTCACTTCCATTAACACACAATGGATCACATTATTCAGCCCTAAGCACGTTTGTTTGTTAATTTAAATCTGGTTTTAGGAAGAATATTTTTCAGTCAATCGCTGATACTATCACGCGTTTATTATACTTTGATTGTGATAATGCTAAGGAAATCCTGTAGTCAAAATTGTGCTTAGTTTGTGACATTTCGCCCTGCTCAAGAGCCCACCTCAGCGGCGACGGAAAATGACACATAGATAAGCAAGGGAAGAAAAATGACACCGTGCACAACTGGTAGCCATCCTAAGACGTTTTATCATAAGCACCCCGGTCGACTGGCCCGTCAAAAATAAAGACGCTAGAATACGCGTCTTTAAACGTTCACACGAAACCAATATTTAACTGAACACCTGCAAAGAGTTTTGATTGTTTGATTTTCCATAAGCAATAAATTCTGTAGCCAATAGAATTCCCCTTAAATACAAATATGTGCCACATGAAACAGACTCTCAATTCATTTCAATTCTGCGAGACGAAGTTAGGTTCCTAAAATAACTCAGCTCGGTCATGCTTTACTATCGAACCATTATCAATAATGTCGGGATCGTCGTCATTTCATTGAAAACTGATAGAGGAAATTTTCAATTTGTTTGCTTTTGAAATTATCGCTGATTATGGTGTATATCTTTTTCAAGCTTCTGAGATTACAGTGACGATGATGAATAACTCCTCTGAACCAACCGTCTTTGACGAGGAGGATTTCGAAATGACAGACATCGATGACGTCACAAAGATTGTCACTACTAGTGCATACGCGATCATCTTCCTGTTTTCATTCCTGGGAAATTCGCTCGTCATCCACATTGTGCGCACACGTGTGAGCATCCGTCGCAACCCTTTCAACTGGCTTTTGGTAAACACTGCTGTAGCTGATCTCTTGAATGTGACAACTGCCTCTGCCCTCACGGTGCCAGTCATCTTGTGTGAAAACCGATGGATATCAGGCGTAATAGGTACGATCCTGTGCAAGTTGACAGTGTATATGTTGCCGGTTTCCATCTGTGTTTCAATCTGGAGCCTTGCCATCATTGCTATTGATCGATATCTGGCTATTGTGTGCGCCATTTGGAAGAGGAAGAGAGAGCCACTATCGCACAGGTCAGTGAAAAAGTCCATCGTTGCCGTGTGGATATTCGCAGGCTTGATATTTAGTGAGGAGCTTTACAAGTTCACAGTATACGAGGTGGAGGGGGAAGCCGCTGAATGCCACGGGCAGTGGCACAATATGGAGCCTGAACTTTCGGATACTCTTTATCGAGCTGAAATGATTGTCAGAGTAGTCATCACCTATGCTGTTCCGCTCCTTGTTATATCAGTCCTTTACTCACTGATAGCCAAGTTCCTCTGGACACACAAGCCACCGGGAAATGCCACATTGCAGGTGCATATCAAGCGAACAAGAAGACACCGTGCGGTTATTAAGATGCTGGTCACAGCTGTTGTCGTTTTCGCCATTTGCTGGCTTCCCGTTCATATCGCCCACATCATGGAATATTTTTACAATGATATTTACGACATGATTCCCTTCGGTACCCTGGTAATGATGTACTGGCTGGCGCATGCTAATGCTGCAATCCATCCCTGGTTGTTCATTTACTTTGGCGAGAATTTACGAATGGAGACGAAAGGAATATTCCAGCATCTCAGCAGCAGAAAAACCAACGTTTTGGAACAGTTCAGACAACAAACATTTTCCCTACCAACGCTGTCTACTGATCCAGATACGGTTCGCAGAGCCAACAGAACAAAACGCGATTCATTCATCGCTATAAACGCCGTTTGACTTTGATCTGGTTCGTAAACTCTGCTTGATAAATTGAGAGCCATGATATATCACAGATTCTCCGTTCATCGTATCAGTGCTATGGTTTCTTTCTTCAAAGCTTAGTTGGCACAGCTCAGATTTTGTTCGTTAAGTAATCCCAGATTTAAATTTTATCTACTACATCTGCATAAAAACTGAAGGTAATTGGGTCACAATCTATTGACCTACCATGATTAAAACATTTAAAATTTTCTTTAGTAGTACCTGCATTAGAAAAGGCTTGCATGAAATTCGTAGCTAAAAAGCTGGCTTTGGGTTGACCATATATATGTATATGTTCAGAATTCATATTTCTTGATTTCTGTAAGGTAAAGCGCTACCTTGCTGGTGGGGTAGTCTTTACATCAATTAACCACAACATTTTTTGATATCAGGATATGCAATTACTACATAACTAGAATAGATTTTGTTACTATGTAAAAAAAATTGATTAGACATATACTCACTTATGTAGGATAAAACTGCTCAGTTTTAGATAAACACTATAAACTGATGTTTTAACTATGCGTCACAAGAAAACTGAGTACAAGAAGCATCCATGATGCTTAGGGTTAAAAAGTATCTTAAAAGTATTCATTATGACAACTCTTTTCTCCATTTCTTTACACACACTACCAAGCTATATCATGAACCTTGTCAGTAACCTTTAGACTAAATACTGCTTATTTGATTCCGGAAGTCCTACGAGGGTCTCCCTTTACTACGAATCACTGATTGTCTAAAATGTACCTCCCGTCAATTGTGACTTTCAGAAAACCGGTTTTGAAACTTTCTGTAAGTATTCGAAGTGGACATATTTTCGATGCAGTTGCACTCCCTCCAAAGAACACATCTATGGCATTCCTTTCTTGGTACTCTTTATCACCTCATGGCCAATGTAAGCATCAGTGAGCACACCTTGATGTCACAATGGGCGTGTACATCAGTTGTGAATATGGGTGTCATTATGGCATGTTATCACTCAGCTGAAGAAGGCTGAAAAAAAAGGGAAGGTGCTGTTAACTTTGGGTGAGGATGTGCCTTTAACACTCAACTAAGAATAGTGAGAGAACAGTGGGAGAAATCTTCTAAGAGGAACGCTTAAGGGCAGGTAAAGAAAACATATGTAAGTGGTGGTGTTCCTCTCTGAGTCAAATGACTTTCATTCATGCTGTTATAACGTGTGCTGTGATGGAAGCTGCGATGACCGACCAAACATCCTCAACTCTTGAACTTTTGAGCTTGTTCTTCTGAGTCTCTGAACGACGAAATAGGACAAGTCAAGTCATTTTACGCAATTAAGAAATTTCGGGAAAGAAGGTACACTTGTGAACTGCATGTTTGATGTTTACTTCACAAAAAAAAAAACTTGTCAGTGGCAGTTGTCGAGCAAGATTTCCTTTGATTCGTATGAAACCATAAGCGACGGGGTAAGAGGAGGGCCAGGGGAGTTTTAGATCCCCCCAAACAATAATGTTTTAACCCCTGGTTCCACCACGAGCAAAAAAGTGGTTAGACAAAATGTCCTCTTCTGCAGCCTTTAAAAAAATTCAATTCATCCGGATCAAGCTTAACGAGATAATATTTTGTGGGCCTCTTCTTTTATGGACAACTACCTTCGAACTTATCGTCAAAATCGACCAAGGACAAGTACAGTGGACTGTCTTGAGCAAAGTGGTTTCTTTGTGCCAACAAAATATGAGCAGAAGCAATATTGGGAAATTTGATTAAGTCTCTCTATTTAGAAACTAGTATGTCTAATATTGGAAAAGAAAGTCCTTGCATCAAGGAATTCTTTTGTCAAGAAAAACTCGACAAGGAAAGTTGCAGGGCTTGATTAATAAGCGATGAGTTCAACCAGTGTTTCTTCGCGTTACTCACCTTGAATGTAGAAGCTTTCTCTGAGAGGGAGCTCTGACGTCCTAAAGGTGTTACAACTGAGGAACCCGATAGTCGTTTACGGATAAAGCGGATGGCTTTTATTGCCTTCCACGTCTCTTTCTTACGTTTGAAGTTCTTCCGAATCTAAAACAAAGACAAATGTTCTTCGTATAACGTTTTATTGTCAAGTCTGTTTATTAGCTCAGAAATAACTGTTTTTACCTTGATTTGCACACACATGCAATCCACGTAACGTTATCTTTGGAGAACTCATCTAAAGTTAAGGGTTTCAAAAATAACTAAAACTGTCCCCTGAAATTGCTTCTTTGGCGTCCACTCGTTTGTTAATGACCATCTGGTGAATCGGGAAACGTTTATCTCCTTATTGTTTATAGTCGAAGAATATTTTTCCAAGTTATATTAAATATAATTGATAATCAGAGAAATGAAGAGAATTTCTTGGCAAGAAGAAGAAAAGTGGTTCAAAACTTTGATGAAAAAATTATGATGATCCGAAATGTGATCACAACAAAATCAGTTTATATTCCTAAATGTAGATTTGGTTGAAACGGTATTACATACCTCCGAATTAAACAAAGAGTGAAGGAGAAAAATGAAAAAGCCCTGCAAAAGACAGAACAGATTATATGTGCATTACCACTCCGTATTCTAGCAAAGCGCGGGCTTCCGGTCAAGCAAATGCAAATCTGGTTTCAAAGTTTCCTTTGTCTGAGGTTACCCAGAGGACGCTTAAAACAATGACATTTGCACGCGTAAAATTTCCGTTATTTAATATTCAGAAACGGAAGAGCAACTACTGCATGTTAAAAGTTGCCTACGTAGTGGCCGTTATGTTTAAAATGGCAAGGGGAGAGATTCGATACAAAAGAAGGATGAGATTAAAGGTCATACTGGACTTCGCACGTCTGGGCACAAACGAAGTCCTGAAGCAGAAGGGACATGGTAGTTATTTACGATTTGACAGAGAGTGGAAAGGTAAGACCGGTTCTCTCTCGAACTCAGTCTGGACATTTTCCAAAAAACCCAGAAAAAATTTTTACTTGTACCTATTGCTTTTCTGTCACCGATTGTGTTAAAAACGAGACATTATACACAATATAAAACAGTTGCAGACTAAATGCGCGAAGTATTATGATCGTAAATTCGCCATTTTGCGCGGTATTCACGCGCGTTTTACGCGCACGCCGTTCAATCTATACGCATGCTTTACATGTGCGCGATTCAAAACTACGTGTGTGCTTTCGCAGGTAAGGCAAAGTACATGGATGTGTTTTTCATTGTTACAGCTGTTGCCTCGGTAGTGTTTCCATGCTGTTTTCGTAAAAACCATGTACTCCTTGTAAGATCTGATCGTTATAAGTTTTGAAAAGAAAAAAAGATTACCTGCATGGTATTAGACAGAGCGAATAGATACTGGAATGCAACACTATGAGTAGCAAACACCAGCAGTCCAAATAACCAAGTAACTCCAAGAAGAGGAAAAAGTACCACTAATGACTTGAGAGTAGATCTGAAAATTGAAATGAAATGTTTCTGTCATGCAGCAAAGTCGGTGGCCTTGTAATCAAACTAGTATCTGTTAAAGGCTGTTTTCTTGATATTGTCCTGTTTTTGATCATGTAAATCAGGTTCATCTGTAATTATGACAGGCAGGAAAGCCTTTCGAGATAATCATTGAAACAGAACTGAAATCTGATGACTTTACCGAACGACATCGCTCATGCAAGTTCGTCCCGTCGTGTGAAGGCGACAAATCTCATGCAAAACCAAACCCAGGATCACAATGTTCGCCTAAAGGAAAATAATTCAAAACATTAATGGAGAGAAGAGATTTTTTTTCTGAGAAAATAATCATTGTACCGTGGCTAAAACCTTACCAAAGTGGTAACAGCTACAGGAATGATAAACGCCAACAAAGTGTTTCTTTCGGGCGAAATCCAGCAACTGAAGAAATAGAAAGACCTCATCTTCAGTTGTGACAGGCAACATACCGCTGAGAAAATAATGGACTCTGCTACAATTTTTTTGAACTCGTTTATACCTTGTTTTTGTGCCATAGTCGGAGTACATACAAGCAGCTGTTACGAGAACAAGCAAAGCTGGAATCCCTTTTGAAAGAAAACAAATTTTTAGCCAGAGAAAGTAGATTAGATAATGTTGAAATCACAGACAAATGGAGACGTAAGGGAATTCGAATGAGCCAGACCAAAAGATCAGACGACACTATCGACACAGCTGATAAAATCAAATTATCTTGACATACAAGCATAGTTTTATTGCCTCTTAGGTTGTCACGCGAAGATTTCTGACATTTGTCCTTGGGATGAACATCAGCGAAACACTAAATTTACGATAGACTCTCAACCCCAAATTTACATTACTCACCCCAAGCTAACACAATGTAGTGATAAATTTTAGAAGACAAGTTGAAGACCTTCACCACCATGGTGTAAAGATGAAGTCCCTCGCAAAGCATCCAACCGAATGATACCAAGTAGAAATAATGAAGCATGATCGCCGTGAATTTACACTGTAACTAAAGGTGTGAAAAAAAGAGAGACGACATTACGAGGTCCCTTCCTGTACCTCGCAATCAGTCATTAGTAATCATCTGGGGGAAGGATTTAGGGGGGAGGAATCACTAGGTTTTCAGGGGGGTGAGGAGGGGATCAGTCGTCTCCAACAGAGTACAAAGAGGGGAGTAGCTGCCAGTGATGGGAATCATAGGAGTATTGTAAAGCCTCATGGGGATAACAGATAAATTTCATCGTGACACAACCAAGATACTCCAACCGCCCGCAGACGATAAATGATGATCTACCCTTTATTCGATAACGAAGTTCTTTGTTAAGATTCCATCCTTGAAAACTATTTAAGTGATTTTAGTTTTTCCCCTTCTCTTTTCTCCTTTCTCTTCCTTTCACTTTTTTCTGAGTTTTTGATTCGTTTCGTATCAACTGTGACCCGGCTAAATTGAGATCACGCATTGACTAAATATTTCGCTCTTAGATTTTGTTTCATTAAGTGAAAACCACTGTCAGTACGTGAAATCAGTAGATAGAAAGCGGTTTAAAGGTTCCGTAAATATTTTACAAACCTCGTTTTCTGTCTGCTCTATTCCAAACAAAAATATGGTTTGGGAAATGGCAATGGACACCAGCAAGTTCCCATGAATGATGTGACGGTCTGTGTTCAGCTGACTGCAAGCAAAAAAAAGAAAGTTAGGGAACAGGTCTCTTCTCATTAAAATTTCAAGGTTTTGCACAAAATCCAAGCTAAGAAATTTCGGTCTAGCTGTTTAGTTTACCTAATTTGTCCAAGCCTGATTTTGGTTGAACTTTAAACTTACGTGAAAACAGCAAACGACGTAATAGCACCAACAGCTCCAAATAAGGATAAAATGCAACCAACGTATGTAATGATACCCAAAGCAAATTTGTCAGCTTTTGGCACCTGGGAGAATAAAGCAAGTAAATCTAAACTGGGTCCGTTTGATAAATCAGTCAAGGATCGACTAAGATCTCGCAGAGTACATGTAAACAACATTGAAAATTCCGATTTTGTGGCATGAGGTGGATGTTACATATCTATCAATGACGGCGGAGCGATATTCTGTAAAGTAGGGGAGGGGATCTGAAAATCAAGTCCTGGATGCATAAGCCACTGTAAAGGGCTCTGTTGAACGTTATTTAACTTTTGCTTTAATCTATTTTTTCCGGGGGGAGAGGGAACGGGGGCCACTTCCTCTAACCCCATTACATGATTACCACTTAGCATCCTTCACCATATGTTAGGCCAGTTGCGCGATGAAGCAAAATATTCAACTCAAGCTAATTCTTGAAAGAACAAGGATGAGTTTCCAGTTGTACGTTTAGACACCTACCGAATACTCTCCAGATCCCATAAGAACAGCAAAGTTGGTGAGATGACCACAGGCGCACACAGTGTGTGTCCTGTTGGACCTCTCTGTAATCACGTGACAACCGTCACGTGACCAAGCTCCTCTCCCTTGAATTGTGCTGGTGTAAATTTGAAACAACACGGTAAGGATTTTGAAAATTCGGTTCAAAAGTTTCAATACAAAATGGCGTAATGACGGAACTCAGCGTGACTGCTTGGCGAATCCTGTGATTAAATTTGCACAACTTGCAAGAAATTACTCATCACTTTGTCCTGTTACGTTTTGGAAATTAAGACGAGCACTTAACCGGTTGGAAAAAAAGGTGTGCGTGTAGATGGCACCGGGCATCAGTACCAAAACAATCAATTTTTTTTTTTAAGTAAGCTGCTATTATGATTCAAGCGACCAATAAAGTCCTAATGGTCCTAATGGTCTAAGCAATCAGCTTTAGAATCTGTACAACACTTACTGTTTTGAAAAATTCCAGAAAGCGCAATATGTATACTCATTTTCGTCAAGAGCCTGAAAAGAAGAAAATTTTACTGTCGACCGCCAAATATAGAGATAGACTAGAGTTTCTAAACTTCTTCGTAAGCATCCGACAGCATGCGCTGAATTTCAGGCGAATATATCACATGTCTAATTTACCTTAAGATGTTTCAGTGTGATGAGAATATTCCTTTGGTACTTGTGCTTTACCGGCACACATAGCGACATGGATATCACGTGGCTATTCAGCCTTAGAGTTTCATTGGTGTCGCTCCTAAAACAATCACAGCAAAACGTACGTTAAAATATAACTAACATATATCTCAAATGCTGGCAAACGACTAAATACTTACAATCGTACTGGCACAATGGCATGTAGTCTTGAATACAGAGCACCAACAGAACGACACGGATCTAAAGAAATGGCAGTGACTGTATGTTATCTATTTTCTAGTGTGCTGTAACCCCAAAATTTTCCCAGTCTTGCTAATTAAACAGATAAAAAAAATAGGAAGTAACTGAGGAACGCGGAGTGGAATCAGAAATGCCCAGAGATTATTCACTTTAAAATCTCTGGACATTTCTGTAAATTTATTTTCACGGTGTCTATCCTTTAGTCAGTGCATGTGTGCCTATAATGCGGTTGGTTCGATAATGAAGAGCCGAGTAAAAGCGCTCTATTGCAAAACGGAGACACACCTACAACTTCAACTGTTAACCCTTTGCCCCCAAAGAGTAACTAACATATAATTTCTCCTTACAATATCATCCCTGAATCATACATCAAAGTCACAAGATTAAAGGAAATGATCACCAAACAAAGAAGCTCTTGATTGTTAAACAAATTATCTTTGTCAGGACCTTAAGAAATTAATAGAGAACCGTATGGAGAAAAGGCTTACTGATCTTACGGTGTAAGGGGTTAATGTCATACAGATACAGTTGGCACCTACATTTGCCTTCAGAAAGCAGTTTCCTGGGTAATTGTATCTGGTCAGTGAGTTCATCCCAATGCATCTGCTTTTGAAGATACAGAAGAGATTCTTGTGGAAATCTGTATTCCCCGTTTATGTTCGCACTTTCAAACACTGAATTATAACAAGAATCGTATTAATTTGTCATCAAGAATGCGATAACTATTTATTTCTCTTTCCCACAGCTATGTTTATCATATCTTATCGCCAAAATTTTTGTATCATTTACTTATACGCACATGAAGTCACGACCAACGTCAAATTTTAGTAAAACATCTTGCCACCCTAGCATTTTGATTTATCAAATATTAACTGATTTTAATATAATTTTCATCTTATTTCTTATCTTTCCATGCATTTCAATCTCCTTGTTACCCGAAACATCGAAAAGGGAGAAATATTTAAATAAATTACGACGAGCTTGGTTACGTTTACTTACAAAAACTCTTGGTAAATATTCGTATGATTTCGCTGCTATTCGCCAGACGTTTTTGGGCCTCCTTCCACAGGTCTTCTAAAATTGATACGATCTTAAAAGCGTTAAGATAAGAAGAACCGTTCCTTGGAAAAGTCAAGCTCTCAAGCACGTCGTCGGCATCCTCAGCCGTTGTCTAAACGGAATGAAATGCAATAGCGTGTTGCCGGATGTAATTTGCACACATAAGTCTATCAAATATGAACCGCTTCGATTTAGCGTCGTCAAAGTAATCACAGCTGCCAACCAAAAGAAGGGAAGTTGAGGATGAGAAAACGTTAAATCGAGATTGGCTTTTGGTAATCAAGAGGGCATGATTACTTAATGCTGATTGAACCTTTTTGCTGTTTGCGGCAATGATTCATTGATTGCAATTTTACTGAATGAAGTTGTGTAATGTTGTTAACTGTATTTTAAGAAAAAAATGTTCATTTAATCTATTGATCAGTTACGTATGTTTTGACATTTGTGGTGGCATTGAAAGGGCTTCAACGCGCAGAATTCGTGCGCCAATGCAATTCCCTTAAAATAACTTTGCCCTTTATGTGATAAAGAAGTAATCGCACGAACCCTCGGGCAATTAAGGATTAATTTCACTTGCATTTTCAAAGTTTTCCCAAAATTGACCTCGTCGCTTCGCGACACGGGTAATTTTGGGAAAACTTTGAAAATACAAGTGAAATTTATCCTTTATTGCCCTCAGGCCCATGCAATTACATATACTAACACTTTAGTCTTATTCAAGAGAGAAATTCGGCTGAACCGATTATAAAGGTTTTAATAGCACGAGTTGCTGGGATAAACTAGAGTTTTGTGTCGCGTTTTGTGTCAAAGAATAATGTAATGTAACACACCTGTAAAATATCTAGTATCGAAGCAGTTTTATTTCTCGCCATGCTTTCCTTGAGCTGTCCAGCTTCGTTCTCGAAACACTTAAACTTTGGGAAAACAATATTCAGTTTATGTGCTGGTTTTCATATTTACAACAAGACATTGAAGACTTTATTCCCCAGCAATTATGCACCTTGACAGTTGATTAAATCAAATGGAGCAAACTTAATATCTCGGGTCAAAGATTTCCCAGCGAACAGTTGCGATCGGTACCCTCCCCCCACTAGTAAAAAGGCACCAAAGGACTTTTGATCATGAGATGGAAATATCTGTTCCGTGGCTATCAGACGTCTTTCTAAAAGTTTCAACTCAGAATTTCGAAACTGTTCCAGTATCATATCGAAAAGTCCAATTTATAAACCATCTGTGTTGATTGTTAAATTTTTGGAATCGTTGCCTACCTTTTCCTCCAAGGCCACCGATATACAATGTTTCGTTTTTATTGGTTCAACGGTTGGGTGAGAATTTTTTGGATCTAAAGAAGAGAAAAACAAGTAAAGTTTTAATGTGACATTTAGACTTGGTATTTCCTTGTTATCTTTCCTTCCTTCGAGTCAGTTTGTTGAACTTTTGCTGAGGGTTACGAAAATTTTTTAGGTTGGAATCAACAAAAAGAGAATCTAGCCGATAAAAATAAATAATAAACGCTTTACAAACTATTTTGTGTTTTCCAAAATAGCACATTTTTGGATAAATTAATGATTTTCCGCGGCAAGTTTTGGTAATCACTTAAAAATAATCAAATCTAGCGGACAAAATTTAAAATAAATTGAAAATTTACATTTCCTCTGCAATATTTAGCGTGTCCGTAAGAAACCACGTGTTAAGGGACAATCATGAAAATATGCAGAGGTAATCCATCTAATCTGCCAACAGTCAGTCACTTAATGTTGCAGAAATCCTGCAACCTCTCATGCAATGAGTGTCGCAGAAATTCTGCAACCACTCATACACTACGCTGGGTGTTGCAGAAATTCTGCAACCACTCATTCACCAGGTGTCGCAGAAATTCTGTGAGCACTCATACACTGAATGTCACAGACGCACTGTGACCACTCATACACTGGATGTTGCAGAAATTCTGCATCCTCTCATTCACTAGATGTTGCAGAAATTCACTCATAGATACAGGAATATAATAGTCTTTCTCTAACCAGTCAACAGATGCCACGAATATTCTGTCAATTAACTTTCAACAGGAATTATGTACCTAAAATAACACATGGCTTAATGCCACACGATAAAATTCGAATATTAAAATGTTAAAAAAGTAAGCAATACAATAACAATTTAAGTCATATCACTTTATTTTATGATCAGATACAAAAACTGAGTGAAAAGTATCATTAATTTGATAACATTGAAGTTTGTTATACAGCAAATAAGCAATCTTCTCTAGCCAAATTATATTAACTAGTCCCGATTTCAGTCCTCTGACCTATTTTAAAAGATTTGTATGTGTGATAAATAGAGAGCAAATATATCATTTAAATCTTGCATTGTCTTGCAATAGACGACATGGGAATTGATGCTCGACCCTCTAATGAAAACCTTAAACCGTTCACTATTCAGAGGAAAACTAAATTAACAGTATCACAAACTTTAATTAATATCTCCACCAATGTTTACAGTAGGTAATAATGCTACTTGTGTATCTCAATTAGAGGGAAAAAATAAGCCTCTAGGAAAAACAATCCCCTCTCTCTGTTAGCTGCAACTGTTTCCAGAATAAGAAAAATCAAACCGTGCAATGCATAGGCGGCCCAAGCTCCAGCTGGGAGATGATCATCTTGCGTAATAACAGTCATGGCGGAATTATAAGAGTTTATGTGGGAATATTTACGACCGCTCCAAGGAATAAAAAAATACGTCAAATTCTCAAAAAAAAAATACCTCTTGTTATCTGACCGCTTGCTTTGATGAAAAGAACGCATTTTAGCGAGTTGTCTATTTCGAGGTTTTCAACGTACTTGGTTTTTCTTATGTACGTTGAAAACCTCCAAATGGACAACTCGCTAAAATGCGTTCTTTTCATCAAAGTAAGCGGTCAGATAACAAGAAATACGCTGTGGAAGTAAGGTGAGGTATTTTTTTTGAGAATTTGACATATTTTTTTATTCCTTAGAGCGGTCGTAAATATTCCCAGACAAACCTCTTATAATTCCGCCATGACTGTTATTGCGCAAGATGATCATCTCACAGCTGGAGCTTGGGCCGCCTGTGTGCAATGTTGCCTAATAGCTCACAAACCAGTGAAAGGGATAATGTACTGAAGACCCACTAAACAAAGCCATTGTGAGAGCGCCTTCTTGTTTTGGCCGGGTTCTGCATTGAAAACAACGGCGGAATTAACTTAACAGGATTACTTCCATCTTTTCTTTGATTAAACGAAATTTTAAAAAATTTGAAAACAAACTTTTAAAAGAGTCTTAAATGTGTTGGGAGCTCAACCTGAATGTGTACAAAAATTCAATTACACGATTTTGTTTTCTTGCAGGGAAAAGAAAATTAATTTCCTTTCAACAACGTACCTTTTGGCATTTGATTAAAAGCCTGATTTATGAATAGTTCTGTTTAATAAAGCGGGTATGGGCCTCTGTTAATAGCCTTTAGTTTCCAACCGTGGAGTTATTTTCACAAGTTTATCCTGTCATTCAAAAGACATCACCATGCACAGTATTGCTATTTCAACTAAGATCACTGGAAAATAGAAAAAGCATAAAAAGAAAGCTGATCGAAACTGTTGGTATGCGTGGGCCCTCTACAATTTGTCTTTTTTGAGAATGGAAAAGAAACGACTCAGAATTTCTGCAGCATTGACCTTGCAACACATAAAATTTCTTTAACTCAGGATTTCATTGCCTGCAGAATTTCTGCTGCTGCGGACGTCATACCGTGCAGAATTTCTGCAGCACTGGACGTTAAGGTGTGCAGAATTCCTGCAGCACTGGACGTCAAGGCGTGCAGAATTTCTGCAGCACTGGACGTCAAGGCGTGCAGAATTTCTGCAAAACTGGACGTCAAGGCGTGCAGAATTTCTGCATCATTGGACGTCAAGGCGTGCAGAATTTCTGCAAAACTGGAAGTCAAGGCGTGCAGAATTTTTGCACGCTTGGGTCATCAAACTTTGCAGAATTTCTGCAGCATTTAACGTCGTACCTTGCAGAATTTCTGCAGCATTACACGCCACACCATGCAGAATTTCTGCATTACAGTTCGTGATACCATGTCAAATAAAAATTAAAAAACCGCTTAAACATATTAAGGGTTAAAATCAAAGACTCCATCGTTCCATTCTTAAACGTGCAGAGCATTATGTGCACTTTGACCAGATTTAACAACCAACGCAGTAAAAAATTGAATATTTATATGAGTAAAACGCACTTACGTTTAACTTTCTGTTGAATTATACAAAATGTTGTTCTTTTGAAGTAACACATTTTCTTAATCCGTGAAAACTGAAGCATTTTGCTTTTATTACATAGGAGAAATTTCCTTTTTATTTGCCTAAATAGTGCTGCTTTGAAGCCAACATTTCACTTTGTCTGGAAAAAAAGCACGATATTTTGCGGAATCGATATGAAAAATATTCCTAAAAGGTCCATTTTTCACGGAAAATGCTATTTTGGAAAACACAAAATAGTTTGGAAAGCGTTAATAATAATAATGATGATGAAAATCATGATAAATTTTAATTAATAGTGATAAAAATTAAAAACTTATCATACATTTTGATATGATGTTTTAGCGGTTAAAAGTACACAGGACCCTAGTGACTCCTTAAAATTGCTACAATACATCATTCTAATAAATTAATTGTAAATTCAAATTGATATTCTGATGATTGTTTGTTAGGAGACGTCATATAAAACAAACTTATAAAACAAAGATACCTTTCAAAGCTCATCGATGATATAAGGGATATTCTTTACCTGAAAATGAAGATGTAGTCACTAATTGTCGTGGTGTCGTTGTATATCGGCTGTGGGTAACACTGATTGACGAGGAAGGTAAAATTCCACTAGGCTTCGGGCTCCTGACGCTCGTGGATATCCTAGGAGTAGGAGTGATTGAACTGCGACAAAGTGAAGCGATTTGAGCTGAAAAAAAGGTCTATTGTTATCTTCGAAACAAACAATCTTTAGTTCTCACTGATACATAAGATCATTTCTGTAACCTCGATGCTGTACACCGTATAGAAAAGAGGGGAATTCATGCCCACGACGGCTAAAATCAAGTGTAAACCTCTCAACGATTGGTAAAAAACCGCCGCCTGGTTAGCTCATGTTGTAGAGCGCCAGCTGTGGGGGAGGTCGAGGGTTCAAGATCTAGCCTGGACCAACACTCAGGGTCTTGAAATAACTGAAGAGAATGCGCGCCTTTGCTGTGGCATCTGCAAATGGTTAGACATTCTAGACTTCTCGAATAAGGACGATAAGCCATAGGCCACGTCTCCTGCCTCTTCTCTGAACTGGTTAGCTAGACCAACGTTAATGAACCCGCGCACTGATCGCAAAAAGTAGGGAACTTAGCTCCCGGTGTTGTGGTCTGCCCTTGATTCTGAAATTGAGGGCATCTACAAAAATTCTTTAAAAAAAATTGCAAACTGCTCAATGCAGTCTAGCCAAAGTCCCTCGCAAAGTGTTATAAAGCGCCATGGGCTAAATGGATATGGCGCTATAGAAATCCTTCATAACCATTATTATTATTATTTTTAAAATTGGCATCCTTTTGTCTCTCATTCGATTATAATTGAATTTGGATCAGATAGTCTGTCTTTAATCGAGCTTGGCAAAGATTTTTCGTCAATTTGCTATTACTTACTTAACAAACCGTAATACAATTAATGCCAACCGTCTCCTAGACTTTCTAAACTTTTTAATTCACCCAATCCACCTTAAGCGCACTAAGTAAACTTCAATAGTACAAAGTATGGACAGTTAAGAATAATGTTTAATACAATGTTTGAAAAATATAAAATAATTAGTAAATAAACAAAGAACTTACCTCTATTTGTAATATTCATGCATCTTTTATCCACTGGATTGTAAATAGGGCTACGCGATGGGCATGGCATTAAATACGCCTCACTGCCAGTTAACTGACAGCTATAAAACTTTGCACAGTCATTTGGATCGGGGAAATAGCCTGTGATTGAGCACGTGAAGCTGTCTGCAAAAAAATTATGTAACACGAAAATTTTACGACGTTTAACTTTTTAACTCCTGTAACCGACGAAGATAGAATTTCTCCTTACAATATCAAGTAAGACAAGTGATGAGAATAAAGAAAAACATTAATAAGGGGATTATTAATTGATCCAATAGCAAATCCTGAGAGTGAAAGGTTTAAGTTCTCTCTTCTTTCTTTATTATGTTTTCCTGGTTTACAGAAACTAGCCTGTTTTTTTATTATTTTTCCATAATGCACAAGAAATGTAAGCAACTAACCCTGTTTTTCCTTACCTACCTTACACATCTCTTTGGGGGAAACTTATTTTGAAATCATTACCTCAGTGAAGTGTTTGACTTTTACGAATTGCTTGTGGAGTGTGATAGAAAATCTAATCCTTACCATCATCCGCGTGGTGATCGCGACAAGAGATTATGTTTAATACGTATGGTACCGAAAGGGTATCTACTAATCTTCATTATCTTCATACAAGAAAAGTAGCAAAGAAGTAGCCTCATTCAAAGCCGTTATTAGACCTCGTCACCCAACGCTTTCTCTCTAGATTACCACAAGAATCTCGGGGGACCAGCAGAGGAAATGAGTATCCCTTTTCTATTCCTGGTGCCAAACCTTGAAAAATTTCCGGTATTTTAGCTTTCCTGATTGAGGGCAGTGGATCGATGAAAATCGCTACGTTGCCGTAAATAAACCTCAAAAACAATAACAGTTGTATCAACAACAATCACCTATATTGAACAGTCGCAATAAAATTATTCGCTTAAAGCACTCTCACTGGCGCAGTGACACACGCACATAAGCAACTCAGCACACGCGTTTCGAGCCGCCAAACCCCTAACTCTAGTTCGCCCTCCTCGCTAGCCGGTTCGAGTCTCTCGTTTTTAACCTCTAGTTCCCCAGCGGTGATGAGAACCTACTCGCTAGCAACTTATGAAAAATATTAACAGCCAATTTAGGACTAAATATAGAATGAAGTGCTTTCTAAAAAGCCTACTAGCTCTTTCTCAAAATGATAAACACCATGCGTGCTGTGTAACATTTGGTCGGCCGTCATTGATAGAGCAAAAGGAAAGATTATTTCATTTGCTTTTGCTTCAAATATTCCAAAATGTAAGGAAATAAGGTCTTGAGGGGAGAAGATGATAGATATTTAAAACTACTCGCTTAGAGGAAAACTACAGCTGAGGAACAGGAAGGACTACAGAGCTCAATATGCAGTCGCTCGTCACCTCCAAAGCGATAAGCACTCCTAATAAAAACACAGCGCGCAGCACGAGTACGTACTTCACAGGAACGATCACCAATTATTAAAAACATTTCTACCAAAATCAATTTCCATAATTATCCGTGTGATTCTTTCAGATAAAAATATCGAGGATAATGGTATTTCACTGTACAGTGCGTATTGTCACGGAAAGCATCAGTCAGTAGACCACCGACATAGAATGGAAACCGAAGAGAGTCAACTAGGATACTACATGTAATTATATCATCAGCAGTGCCCTTTGTGCCGACCTCTTGTGTAGTCCTGGCCAACAACTTCTCAGGAGAAGGTGAAGAACAAGTGCAACACTTTAACATTACTGCCTGAATTGCAAATCAAATTGGGTTTGACCTACCTACTGTGTTCTTCCCATTTCCATAAAGAATGAAAACCTTAAAAGCGATAACAATCAACACGTAAGGATTCAGTCGCAAGCTATACTCATAAGCTGGCGAAACTCAAGTTCCTTACTCACCTCAATTAGAAATAAAACAGTGCCAGTCAGTTTCGACATAGCTGTAGGGAAAAGCTTCGGAGTAGCTCACAATGAAGCAAGTACAGCGGCGTTTTTCGAAAAGGCATACACTTCCCCTGACTCAAATTCTTGAGGATAATGTTGGCAATGCTCCTGGGAAACTCGAGATGTTATAAACAACCTGTGGTCACAACAGTGTGCGGAAACTGAAACCGCTTTCTGTCTGTCTGAAAGCTGTTGGGCTGATTTGACCACAATCAGCAAATGTCGAGTCGGCTTACTTTAGAGTAATTTACATCATAAGGAAATAAGTTATACCGGATTAACACATGTCTTCTGTTCGACCAAGTTCTTACATCTAACAATAACTTTAAATTAAAGCTTTTAAGCCTTTTGTTTATCAGCCGTTATCGTGACTGTCATTATCAGCTTCTAGAACGTTTAATCGTAATCAAAGTCGGCGAAACCAACTTATGCTTTGTCACTCAACACTTTCGCACAAACCCTTTCTAGCCTTTCCCATATTAGGCCCTGATTTTTGGTTGTACAATCCCTTGGTTGGCATTGTTACCAAAGCGTTACTAAAGACATGACTGGGTGAATTCAAATAAGAGACAACTACACCATTGTAACAAACAAAGTATAGTCTAAAACAGCGAAAGATTGCAATATGTGGCTGTCGTCTTTTCAGAAGTTTTCTATTGTTTTATCGAATTAAGTTGTGGTAAGAATACATATACTCAAAGTTTATTAGATAATGACAAAAAGTAACCAGTGTTTCATTCAGGTGGAGCCTAGAGGCTACCTATTTCCTACTTTTCGCGCAAAGAACAAAGCTTGTCACTCAAGTATCTAGTTTGATCGATAACCCATGAACTGCCAACTTAAAGGCTTACTACAACGTAGTGTCCCAGTTTTGGAGAAATAGCAATAATGGCCACACACGGACTGCCGTTTTCCACACAAAAGCCAGAGACGCAAGAGTCAGAAGGTGATAATTAACAACGAAACTTGTATCGAGCAGAACGCACATAAACTGAGCAGCTGGCGTAAACAAACAGACAAAGGGTCACTATAGTCGTCCTTCAATTTACTGTAAAATGAAACTGGATAACTCCAAACAGCGGACCAAACGCAACAATAGTTTAATTGAGCTCTATTGTGACCCAAAAGTTACACCTATTACGCGGCTGGCATAATAAGAGGTTTTACTATATATACAAAGTGGACATTATCATCAAAGGTTCCTCAGGTTTCATTATATTATAGTTTTCAGTGTGTCAAGTTTGTGACAAACTGATCCACACAAATAAATTGCAATTACATTTTACTGAGGCAGCAGCAAACACAAGATGTAGCTGAACTTGAAAATCCAGAGATTTGATGGGATTGGGACCAATGTATCGGCATCAAACTGTGTCTTTGCAGATGCCGTTATAGGCCTCAGTTGGAAACCTAAATTATTCTTTTAGGTATTACCGTAGGCATTTCAGTGCATTTCAGCTTTAATTACTCCTTGACGTGATAATACACTAAATCAACTCGTCATTAATCTGGTCACCTACAGGTCAATTGTGATTTCTTTCACATGTTATTTGGTCTTTGTTGTCTGTGAAAGAGGAACTGACATGAAAAGTAACTATTTGATATCGTAAGTAGTGACTTCAAAACCATGTCAAATTATAGGACTGATTGGGTTGCCATCGGCTCAGGAAATTTTTAATCAATAATCTAGGTAGAATTCGATAAATAATTTGCTCACCGCTGTGATGTTTACCTTCGTTTATCAAGAAAACTTACTCAACGCGTTTTGAATGTCGGCTATATACGAAAACCTCGTCGTGACTGAAAATCTGTGGATATAGGACATTTCAAACTTGTAACCGACCAAGCGAAAGATGCTTTCTGTCTTGTCATGAGTGTGGGATAAAGATACGATACCTAGCAGGGACTCTGGAGGACGCGTGTCATACGTGAGCTTAGTAATAGCCTTTCTCGCCATCAACATGGTCTTTGTGGCATCGGAGCGGGGACTGAATTTTTTCTTTGTCCCGCGCTTGTGAAGGACAAAAAGCATCGTTCTCAATTTCTTCACCGAGCTCAAAATTTACCATCTTCTTTGTTTTATTTATAACCGACTTCTTCGACAAATGTCACCGCAAACAGGAGGAAAGTTCACCGTTATCATGAAGCTTCGTCTCCAATCGTGAAAAGTGTGATGATGATTTCTCTTCCCCAGCTCTCTCCGGTTGACTTTATCTTGAGTCTGCTGAAAAAAAAGATTTAAAGTAATCAGTTGGGCCGGGTTGTTCAAAGCTGGGTTGAGGTAAACCAGTGTTAGAGGAAAATATGCATTATTTCAGATGTGAAAGTTTTCAAAGAAAATTTAGTACAATTCCTTTTGTCTGCAATTTGATAATTGGATGCCTTAAAAATAATTACGGAAATTATCCGAAAAAGGCTTTTGAACGAAGGAATTAAGAAAACCGGATTAAATTTAACACTGGGTTAGCGCTAATCGGACTTCGAACAACCGGTAACGATAATTAGTATTTGTTATGCAATTCCCTTCTGCCCTCTTCAGGACTCATAACGTCTCCACTGATAATACTACAAGGATTATTGTTCGGCAAGAAGCCATTTTGATTGCCCTTATTTCTTTTTCACTGCGAGGATTAAAAGGAGCATGATACCTTTCGGAGCCAATCTTTCTGGTATTCACTATGGCTGGTTGAGCAGCCATAGAATTTTGCTTCCTTCTTGTCGGACCTACATTACAAAGGAGTTAGAACACAAAACTCATTTAAGGGGAGTCAAATGGTTTATGGTTTTGACGATTTTGTTCAATTGTAAAAAATATTAAGGTGGCTCTAAACTGTCAGAGCATATCTGAAAAAAAAAAAACAAATTGGCAAATTTATTTATCTTGACATACTGAAATTAATTCAGTATTGAAGAATTGCGGTTACCAAATTCGTTTTTTTAAGGTACAACTAAAATTAAGGGGGGTTTTTTCAATGGTCTAGAGTCTCTGTGGTAACCTTATAAGTTACAAAATGATCACAACTTGCTGATAAATTTATTTTGAGTTTTCTCGATACCACTTTCAATCAAACAAACGTAAAGATATGGAAGCTATGATCCATCGAAGAATTGATGTGTAACCATTTTCAGCTATCTTTTAAAGATAGAATGAAACACTGAAATGACAATTTTTTAGGGTTGGTAACTACTGGTGATAAGATAAAAGAAAACGAAACAAAACGAGATTGTTTTAGGGTTGCGTAGATTAACAAGATTGCACCTTTAAACGCAGAAAAGCGAATTTTTTAGAATTCTGAGCTTGTTTGCAATGAATTTGGTATGTTAACGATCGTGCGTTGTACTGAGCACGTGATCAAGAGCAAAGCAGCGAAGTGGTTTGAATGTAATCATTGCGACCAATACAATGCTGTTTCCATGACGTTTCGCTTTGTATGAATTCAGTTCAAGTTCCATGCATCACCTAAACTGATTCAAAAATGCAATCCTGTATCTGCAAGTGTGATCAGATCTTGTCCAGACTTGCATATTGAATTAACTGCATACTGTATATTTATAGCGGCTGTAGGGAGCACCGTGAGAAATAACTGATTGTCAACAAAAAAAATTCATTCTTCATTGTTACTGCTCTGAATTGTTTTTCTCTTTGAAGAGGCCTTCAGAATATTGACCTTCTGTGACAGGCCATTGTATTTGTGTCAATTGGGCGTTAACGTCATCACTTAAAACAATTAATGCTGCGCTGAATCCACTTAACAAAGGAATTTTTTTGTTTTCAAGTTGATTTACCCAGGTTATTATAATTCGCCTCGTAGTGTACAGGCAACTGATCAAGGATACATCTGAAGCAAAGGAAAAAGGGGCCCTTTGAGAAAAAAGGAGCAGGTACATTGATAGCTTGTATAGTAAGTTTTGGTTTCTCATTCCTTATGAAAATATTTTCGTTGTCTTAAACCTCGATATCAAATGATTTTTAATGCTCTTCTATTGATAAAAAGTTGATGTTGCCATTTATTTCTACAAGACTCAACGTGAATTCTACATCTCCCTTATTTCCCTTGAGATGAAGGCCATTAGGAAGTGATTTACAGCCTCAGAGAAATTTTCAGTGGAGTGATATATAAGCCTGTGTCGTGGCCGCTCGAGATTAATCGCATTTAAATCGGTATTAACAAAAAGGAACTTAGGTGAGAGTTTAACATGCGATCATGCTTGCGGGTAGATTTATGCTTCTTTAGAAGTTCCTCGACCATATTTAACAAAAACAACCGTCAACAAATCGAGTCAAATTTGAGCGCTTGATAGGTTTCGGAATTCTCGGCCAAGAAGCGGCTAAAAATTCGAAACAACAGTTTAAATAATTCCTAACTGTGGCTACAGAGAACAAATATGTCCATGATTTTCATGTGTACATGTTTGCTAGCATCTTTGCATAACAATTATTTTCTTGTATTTTGGGCTGTATCACCATATACTGAGGATATGTTCACCATAATGGACAACTTTTTTGTCGAAACTAACAATATTGACATGATGTTTACACTTGTGCTGTAAACTTAAACTATTGTTATTACCAAATTAGCATAATTTGTTTAAAGTTAATACAAGCCCACTCGGAATCTGTAGAGCTGTATGTCCTACAATGTTTTCTTACGCCTTGTTTCCAAGGTGATTTCATAATCAAGTATATCTGTATACTACCCAAATGATGTTCTTTATATTGTGTGCGGTTTGCATCTGCGCAGTCGGCATTTAACTTTGTAGTTAAGCTATTACAACGAAAAAAAAATTATTCTGTAACTTCAAAGATGAACTTATGCCACAACATATGTGGAAAAGAATAGAAGGGACGGGGTTTTTTGTTGTAGTTAAAGGGAAAAAGTCAAAGTATGAAATTACTTACAGTGTTTTTCCGACTTTTCTGGCTAAGATTGCTCTTGCACTTGCACAAAAGCAAAAGTATGTTTTAGGAGGTTTCTGTTGATTTCATCGAGAGCTACCCACGTTAAGATACTCCGGAAGACACACCGGGAGCTGAGCGAGTATCTGTAACTTTCAATCAAAAGATCGAACAAGTTACCACAAATTCATTTTCTTAACCCTTGGACACGTTAGAACGACAAGCATCTAATTTCCCCTTACACCATCATCCACGAATCACGCATTTAATTTAGGCCGTGAGAATAAAAGAAATGATCACCTACCCAAGAAGTTCTTGACTATTAAACATATTCTCCTTCTAATCACCTTACGAAGTGTATTGAGAACAGTATGGAGAATATGCATACTGATGTTAGGTTGTAAGGGGTTAATTAAAGTAGTCCCTTGTTGCAAAAAAGGGCCAATTTCTCTGATATCATCCATGAGATTTGAAGCTTCATGGAATTAACGCCAAGTTTCACGATTCCCGTTTACTTTTCCTTCCTTTTTTTATTTCTCGTTTATTATTTATTTATTTTTAAATTGGATGAGTTTATATGATATCGAATAAGATCTCGTAATGTTTGAAATAACATGTACCGTATTTTTTTCATTTCTTTGTCTGGATTTTCATTGTT